AGAAAAGTAATATAGACGTATTGCTTATTGCAGTTTCAGGAAGTACCGAAAAATAAAAGAAAATCATCTCATTCAGACACCATTTTTGTTTCTCTTCTACAGTTCTGCTGCCTAGATTTTTCTCGCCATCCTACAGACTGTCATCATCATGGCCACACAGGACAGCAGCGTTCTAGTTCTGCAACGGAGAGGAAGCGGACAGAGAGTTGGGGCTCAGTGGGTCATCCCGCTGCTGCCCGCCACCCTGTGTCCCCGCACCCTGGTCCCTGCCTGTCCCTGGCTTCCAGTCCCCCTTGCTGTGGTCGGGAGGGCGGTGTGGGCGGGCAGAATGCCAGGCCGACTGCATCAGGGAGAACATTGCCCAGGTTAGTGGGAGGAAGAGCTAAGCTAGTAAATTCAGAACAGACACCGGTCAGGCCAGCTTTGCAGCTTTGCAGGGAGGGAAGGAAGAATTAGAGGGAAATAAAAGAGGAGAAAAAAACCCCGGAGAATGTCAGATTTGTACATTTTTGCTACCAAGAAACAGAGAATCCAGTGGGTGCTTAACCAAACAGGGCCGAGGTTTGGGTCAAGGACAGACTTCTTGCTCCTCTCTGGGTTGCCGTGACAACCGCAGCTTCTAGATTTGGCAGTAGAGTGAGAAAGGAGAGGCAAACACATGGAGCAAACAGCAATTAGAGTGGGCTTGCGTGGGAGGAGGTGCAGGACGGAGGGGCTCCGGCCTCAGGGACAGAGTGGGTTCCCTGTAGCCATGAGCTTGAGTCTTCATGGCAGGGGGCCGGAGGCTTCTCTTGGAAATTCTGGGACCAGCCAGCAAATGGGAGCTAAATCTCAGAGGCTGTAGACCTCATCGTCCCCCTTGCTTCCAAGGAAACCCCTGAAGCCCTGGCTCACAGAGCAGCAGGCTCCTCATTCTCAGAGTGGAACTCAGAAGTCAGCACAACACCTTGGGGCTCCTCTCTGTCACTTTCTTTTTTTCTTTTTGGCACCGGGGATCAAACTCAGGACCTTGTACTTGTGAGGCAGGCACGGTGCTACTGAGCTACTTCTCTGCCCCGCCCCCCCCCCCCCGCTTTCCATCACCAGAAGGATGGGGACTATCGGAGGAGAGAGGAAGAAGAGGAGAGAGTGAACTGTTGTGTTCCTTTACTGCTCTTGATGAATTCTTTTACTGCCCACACTGCAAATGCCCCAAGCGCCAAATCATACGGCAAAGCAGAGATGTTAATTTGCCAAAGGTCCCAAAACCAAAAAGGAGTTGGGATTCAGAGCCAGGTCTGATCAATTCTAAGTATTTACTTAGTACTTAGCTCATTCTGGTATATGGGACAGGGGTTCTCAAACTGTAACTCGTATCAGAGTCCCCTAGAAGGCTTGTGCCCCACCAACCAGAATTTTTTACTTGCTAGCTCAAGGATTTGGCTAAAAATTTGCATTTCTAACAAGTTTCCAGATGATATTGATCCTGGTGGTCCTGGGAGAACCATTTGTATAAAGCAAGTCTTTTAATATCAGAGACCTCTGCAGTAGTTTCTGAGCTGCCCAGTGCTACTGAGCAAGACTGAGAAAAACTAGAAGACAGAACTGAAAAGACAAACTGGGGAACCAGGACAACCAACGCAGCTTAATTAGCAAGGGTGCCGGTTAATCCGAGCCACTGATTTTTTTTTTCTTATTCAATTTTCTTTTACTCCTTAATGCCCACCCCAGTGTGGAGAAGCAACAGGAAGTGTACAGCCTGCCCTTTTGGCCACTGCTGTACAGGGTCCCACTCTCAGCAGGGTTTTGGGAGGTGGGGTGGGTGGAAGTGTTACAAGGTGGAAAGTGGGTACTGTCCGTGCTCGTTTGTTGGGTTTCTTACACATGGAACCCTCTTCTTTCAGGGCCAAAGAATCCTTCACTTCAGCTAAAGCCAGTAGCAGTGAAAGATAAGACAAAAAGCAAGAAAAACACTCCCATCAGTCCCCCCAAAAAGATTAGGAGTCCTCTGAAAAATAAGCTGCTTAACAGTCCCGCAAAAACTCTGCCAGGGGCAGGTGGGAGCCCCCAGAAGTTAATGGATGGGTTTCTAAAACATGGACTTGCTGCTGAGAAACCTCTGGTAATTTTTTTGAATTACTTTAAAACTCACCTTTCTCAGATCTCAGTGTACCCGGCACTGTGTAAATATAGCACTTTTGTCCTTTGTTTTCTTTAACAGGAAGAGCTCTCTGCTTCCCCTCCAGCTGTGCAAGGCCCGTCTAGCTCACAGCCTGACCAGCACAGCCATGTTAGACCTGGAGCTGTTGAATTCGATGATGTGAAGACCTTGAGTGGAGAAAGGATAACTACGATCTCAGGTTAAGCCACTGATTTTTGTTAGTAATCAGCTGGGGTAAAGGGGAGCTATTGTGAGGGTGGGACTGCATGTGAGGAAGAGCATTTGCGCGGTTTCTATGGAAACTGATGCAAGCAAGGCTTGTAAAGGACGAGACAAAGCATTCCTGAATTAGGAACAGAATAGACAAAAGTATATGGTTGCAATTAGAACATTGTTCTTCTAGTTAAGGTTTTAGCTGTGGGAACGGAATTTGGGTGTGATGGCCAGACTCACTTCTATAAACTCTTTACAGCCTGCTTTGGGCATGATCAGTGTTTCAGTCCCCCTACATCTTAACCCATGTAAAAAGGTTCCATGTAAAAAGAAATTTCTGCTATTAAAGACAAAGCCAGGTATTATGGAAGATGGAAGCAAAAGATGTTAGAATACTTTTTGTTCCTGTTATCTATTGCTGTGGCTTAAAAACACCCGTGGGGAGTGTCTCGTGACTGGACTTGGGAGCAGGTCTGCTCCTTCCAGGAAGGTTGTTACTGGTTACTGGTGTCTGGTGTCTGGGCTGGTCTGGAAGGTCTGGGTGGCCTCTGGGTCATGTCTGAGCCTGCCTAGGGTGTCTGGATGGCCAGCAGCACTGTTGGCTGGAATGGCTACAGGTGGCCTTTCCGGAATGCTGGTGTTGGGTTGTTGGGCTTCATGGCATCTGAGGCTCAGGGCGAGTGTCCCACGAGACGGAGTGGAGAGCACCAGCCTCTGAAGGCCCAGGCCTGGGAACTGGCAGCGTCACCCTGCTGTCTTCTATTGGTCAACAGAGCTCCTTCTCCCAGAACCATGGGCAGCAGGTCACGGACCCCACTTCTTAATGGGTGGAAAGTTCTGTGTCCATCTGTGAAGAGTGCACAGGGAGGCCACATCCACACCAGAGCCTTGTCTCACTGATGAGACCCAGTCCTCATACCGAGATAGCAAAGCGATCACACTTTGGGGTGTACTTTGCATGTGTCAGTTTTGCTGGGCCATGGCACCTTGATATTTGGGCCAACTTTATTCTAGATGTTCCTGCAGAGGTGTTTTTTGCATGAGATTGACATTTAAAGCAGCAGACTTGTAGTAAAGATTACCCACCCCCCACATCAGTGGGCCTCATCCAATTAGTGGAAAAGAAGGACTTCCTGGAAAAGAGTAGGGTGGAGGACAGGGCAGAAGGAGGGCAGATGAACATTATAATTGCTTGATGTGTGCAGGTATGGAAATATCCTGGGAAATCCCACTGATTTGAACAATTAATATTTGTCAATATGATTTGTTTGTTTTACTGGTTGGTTGTGGTTTTTTGAGATGAGGTCTCGCTATGTAGTTCAGCCTGATCTTGGACTATGTAACCCAGGGTGAACTCGTGGCAATCCTCCTGCCTCAGCTTCCCAAGTGCTGGGGCTATAGGTGCGCTCCACCAGGCCCGGCAATAATTAGTTTTAAAAATTGCAAAAGGCCAATCTCCGTGAGCCAAGAGGAAATAATGCCAGCGGACAGCCTTTGAACAGCTTGAACTTGAATTCTTCCCTGGGTCTCTTCTAGCCTGCTCATGTGCCTACAGATTTTGAGAGTCGATTCCTTAAAACATTTCTCCATGTTTCTGTCTCTGCTTCCTCACCCGCCCCTTTTCTCATTATAACAGTTACAGCTCTTTGGCTGTGTTTTCCTGGAGAGCCCTGACTAATCCTGGCAGTGAGGGCAGCAGCCCTAGCTCAAACTCCACAGAACATTAGTTTTTGATGAATGCTAATAAACCTCAACTACTCAAGAAAAGACAATGGTTCCCTGGTCATTTATGTTGGGGAAACCCTTTGTCAAAGACACATGAAAGGGCCCATAATCTGGACACAGATCTCTCTGTGTGTGGCACCGCTGGGCCTTGGAGAGGGCTGGTCTGGGCTCATGCAGGCTCCTGATGCTGAGGATCCTTTGCAGTGGCTCAGCCGGGTCAGCTCCCCTGCCTTTTCTTTTTTTTTAATTGAGTTTATTGGTACATTTTAGGGACACAGCACAGTTACATTCATTATTGGGAACTTGTACCTCTACATGACAGGTCTTGGTTCTCATTTTTTTCCCCTTGTCCCTGCCCTCCCTTCACCCCCTCCTCTCCTCCCCATTTACAAACACTTTAGTTCCATCTTTTCATTTTCTCACATTTTTTCTTTTCCCTTATTACCCTTCCCCTACCCATCCCACCTTCCCTACACCTCTAGCCCTTTTCTTCCCATTTCACAGCGTCAGTTATCTCATTAGGATCTTGTGTACTATTACAGTTTATTCACACCAGAGAAACTATTCGGTATTTACATGTGTGACTTATTTATTTCACGTAGGAGTGTATCCTCAATCCACTCCCCTGCCTTAAGGGCCTTGTTTGCGGGAGAGACAGGGACTCCTTCTTCCATCAGACTGGCCCTGTGACCCACACAGAAGGATTCTCGGGCCAAGAGCTGAGGTCCCCACAGCCTTCATCAGCTCCCTCTGCAGGGGTGTGGGAACCACTTGGTAATTCTAGAGCAGGACCAGTGAATTATTCACTCTCTCTGCTGGCCAGGGATGCTAATGAGGTGCTAAAGCGCACAGGACTGTGATTTCCACACAGCTCCTGAACACTTCTGTTCAGGCCACTGCCTCGGGCCCTACAGGTAGGGTGAAGGAGCCCAGGACTGCAGACGCCTCAGCATCTCTGCATGACTTCAGAGGCCAGAGGATTTTGCAGACCTTGCTCTTTGGCCGTAGACTTCCCAGACCTCCTCTCTGGAGATGTGAAGGACGAGCGTCCAGAGGACGTTTGCTGTCACGGGAGAACAGCGCTGAGACCATCTCCTCCGGAAGCCTTCTGTGATCTGTTCCTTGTCGGCTGGCCTCCCCTGCACTTCCGGGCCCACAGTGGGGTCTCGCCTCCGAACTCCTCAGGTCCTGGGCTGGAGCCATTCACAGGGGAGGGCTTCCTAGTTCAGCCTCACCATCGGACCCCGAGTCCTGAGCAGCTGCGACCAGAGGCTTCCTGCCCATAGCCTCATCCCATGGTGCTTAATACAATATGAGCTATGGGGCCCGCTTGGGCAGTGTGGAGGGAATCGCTCCTATGTGGTGAGTGCAATCCAGACAGCAGCTCAGTTATTTGGATTGGGATTGGGTTTTGCCTTTGGATCAGCCTTCAGAGCAAGGTTAATTATAAAAAAAAACCCCAAGGAAGGACAAGCCAAGCGCTCTACCCCTGGGTGAGGTGTAGGAATACACGTGTTTGCAAAGCAGAGGTTTAACATAAACAATGGCCCTGTCCTAGCCCACGCCTTGTAGACGATGTTGGGACTGAACCAGGAGAAAGTAGGGAACACTTCGCTGCAACTGGTCACCGCTGCACGCCCGCACCTTCCTAGGCCGACTGTCTGCACCCCTGGCCTGCCCTTCTCCGGCTCAGGGAGGAGCAGCCCCGAGTTGCTGAGAGCTAACACTGAGCTGGCACCGCACCGACTGCCTTTCACACGTCCTTTCACTCGGCCTTTACAACAGCAAAGGTCTGCAGTGGGTTCCGTGTTCTCCCCTTCCACAGATGGGAAGCTGAGCACCAGAGAGGGGCGAGAGCTCGCTTGCTAGGGTTCTATAACTGGGGGGTGTTGGGCTCCCCTCTTCTTTCTGGGCACAGACTGGTCCAGACTCAAAGGGCCACCGAACAGTCTGTGCTGTGGGGTCGCCTGCTGCTTTCAACCTGCCGTGGCTCTAGAGTGGCATCCCCTGCCTGGGCTGGGGGCCGATACTGTCTTGTGGCTGCCCTGCCCGCTCTCCACTGTGCTCTCTTCTTCCTTCCCTTCTGTTACGGCTATGTCTAGATGTCCCCCGAAACCTCATGCAGTCACAGGTGGGGCTTTTCAGAGGTGGCCGGATTAGGGTGTGTGGTGCTGGGGTCAAGGGTGTGATCTGGGCCTGATTCACCATGTGATGCTAGGAGTAAGGCTGACCCACCTGGGTGTAGTGCTACCTGTCCTAATGATAGAGAAAACTTCGAAAATAGCAAAAACCTATAAAGTCTTAAATGTAAAATGGCTTCTGCTGTCTCTAACAACAGTTTGTTTGCTCAGAACTGATAGGCATCAAAAGCACTAGTTGCTGAATGAGGTATTTGGTCTGACCGTGAGATATCAGGGCACAGCAAGACCTTGAGCTCCGAAGAGACTGGAGCCACATGATCATAAAAGTATCTGGATGAAAGAACCTATTGCTAACATTTGCTCCCCTGACCCTGAACACCTCCCCTCCTGTGGACTAGAATAGATAACTAGGCGAATCTTAAAGGTAAACTCCCCAACTGCAAAGAACTGTTACGCCTGGGTTGAAAGCTAATGATTCTGTGACCGTGATTTGAACAGAGAATGAACTGTAACCGCCCGAATGAAGTCAAGGCCGTGAAACCCTATAAAAGGAGGAGCGTAACCCAGCGCGTCGTCGATCCAGGCACGGTTTATGTGCGATCGACCCTTATCAATGAGTGAGTTTATTATTTTACTTCCATTCTGCTGCCTCTGTGTGTGTCACTTACTGCTTCCTTCCATAACACTGAGGGTTGGCAGCCTGGATAGGATGTAAGGGACAGAAAGAGGGTCGCTGCTTGTTGCTGGCTACTTGCTGCTTGCTGCCTTTTGCCTGCCATGGACTGTTTCTCCTCTGTGTTGCCCCACTGCTGTGCCACCCTGCCTTGGCTCCAGCCAACTATGAACTGAAACCTCTATGAGCTGAGAGCAAAATATTTGCTTCTGTCTTGGCCAGACCCTGAAACTCAGCTCAGTTCCTCTCTTCTCCTTCCCCGTCCTTTCCTTGCTTCCCCCAGGCTCCAGGTCGAGCACTCAGGTGCTGCTGATGGTGGTGGTGACCTGGTTGCTGTTGCTGCTTGACCATGACTTCCAGCCACTCCACTGCTTTCCCTCAACTCTTCAGCTCTGATGGGCAACTCAGCATGAGGACCTGAAGTTCTACGATGAAAAATTAGAGAGGTATAGGGCTGGGGAAGAGACATAAAGGGTAAAAAAGCCTACGGGACATAAAAATGAAGAGTAGAGACTGGAAAGGCTGGACTTCAGGGTGTGCCTTAGGTACATATTTTGAAAGATGCCTAGTAGTAAAAGAAGACAGCTGTGTTTGCCACCCTCCTCACCTGAGTGTGTTTCGTTGGCCACTGAGAAGCCACTGGCAATGAAAGGACACTTACGTCATCGTCATTAATAAATACTGATATCAGCTGACCTGTTTCCAAACTCCACGTGTCTGGCCCAGGTTAAATGCTTTACGCACACTGTCCCTGGGGCAGAGTGGGAAGCTGAGGTCTGTGTGCTCTCCACTTGTCTGCTGTATGATTTGGGGTGGAAATCACTGAATTAGGACTTGGGAGTACCTCAGAACATGCTGTTCTCTGCATAAACTATATTCCTCATCAAGGACCAGGCGAGCACATGCACTGACTTCATTAATTTATGGACTCCTTGGGAAGACAAGAGACGTACGTGAAAATTCAAGGGTGAATTAGCTCTACAAGAATACAGGAGTTGCCAGAAGGTGGGAGGTAGGACTAAATGACAAGTTAATGGCAGAAATATAGGACTCATAGGATCTTAGCAAAATGTATTAATTAACTGCACCAAAAGTTGGACAAGTTACATTTAATACGCTTGGAAATAAACATGTGTCACTAACAGTCCCTTCTTAGACTGACAATAACAAACTGAATATCTTCGGGTCGAATGTAACTCACTACGGTTTTATAAATTTGCCTTTTCTTCAACTAGGGTTATCTTTGTCAGAAGCAGTCACAAGGCCCAAGGAGATTTGCAGCCATGAAAAGAACTTTTTTCCTGCCCTGTAATGAACAGATTAAGAGTTTGCTCCCAAGGTCTGTCCCTGTGTCTGGGTATCATTGCAGTGTGAGTCACAGCAAGGATCACATATATATATGTGGTCTGGGGGGACACCAAAGTTTTGAAAGTTGGTGAAAAACAATGACATTGAGCAAGACATGCTGGGGAAGGTGCTGATTTCACTCCAAGTTACTCAGGAACCAGATGTTTTGGAGTAACTTGCACAAAGGTGCTGACTACCAGTTTCCCAGCCGCTGACCCCTCCCACAGGAGCTTGATGAAGGTTGCACGAGCCTTTGGGCCCATTGGCGCGACTCAACCTGCAGGCTGGCAAGAAGCAGGACGAGAACATGGTCCATCCAACCCGCAAGTGTGTTTCTCAGGAGCAAAGGTCACAGCTCCAGGAAGACTGATTTTTTTGCGGTGCTGTGGGGAGGTCAGTGCTTCAAAGACAATACTTTAAAACTTATTTAGAGTTCACAGAGTGAAACACTTGAACACGGCCTGATTGGACATCACATGGCTGCAATGATGCTCTGACTAGGCCGAGGGTCAGTGTGAGGCAAACTGGAGCCCATGGGCTTCTGGACGAGGAGCAAAGCACCCACTTCACCTTTTCACTGAGGAGGGGACAGGCCGGCCACACAGGAGCACGACCAGGGGTGGGCTTGTTGCTAGGTCTCCAGCACATATCTAACTCCCCTTTCCCAAGCAGGAATGTGTAGCACATCCAGGGAGGCAGCCCGGCCTTGGTGGTTAAGAGCATGGGCTCCAGAGCCAGACTGCCTGGGTTCAAATCCCAATCCTAGCTCTTAGTAGTTGTGTGGCTTATCTTCTTAGTCTCCCTATATCCCAGTTTCTCCAACCGCAAAGTGATGATCAAAGTAGCTCTTGAGGGTGAGTTGCTGTCTTAGTCTCTTTTCTTGTCTCTGAGACACAATACCTGACACTTAGGGAAGGGCTCCGTCCATAGTCAGCTGACTCCAAAGCAGGGCAGCGTGGCAGAGGGGCCTGGTGGAGGAGAGCTGCTCACAGCATGGGGACAGGAAGCAGAGAGAGAAGGGAGGAGCCGGGAGGGAGATGAACCCTTCAAGCCACAATCCTACCCTTCTGGCCAGACCCCACCTCCTAACAGCCAATCAGCTATGAACCCCCACAATCCAATCACCTTCCAGAAGTTCTACCGGTGAGCACGTGAGGCTCTTTGGAGCACCCAGATGTAAACCATAACAGTTATGAAGCAGCAATGAGTTAACATTTATAACGTGTTACCACCATCGGTGCCTCACACTTACTAAGTGCTCAATGAATATTAGTTGCAGGATTGCTAGGTTTCGGAAGGTAAATCTGCAGCAGGAGATAGCTATGTACAGACCTGTCGCCCAGTTGATGTCCAAATAAAAATGTCATCTCTCAATTGCTTCTTCCTTATTTCCTACCTGGTGAGGGTGACTTCACCAGAAGTGGTTCCCATAGGAAGGGTTAGAAGCTTCGGGAGATGCCCAGCCAGCAGCTCTGGGGGAGAGCTTTCAGCAGGCTCACCTGGCTCAGCCCTGAGGCCCCCATCAAACACACATGGCTCGGCTGAACCTGCAGAGGTTTATGGAGCCTGACTTCAAGCTGGGACTCTGGCTGCTGCTGCTGCAGGGATGGAGAAACCAACCTCCCCGAAAGGCCCCTGTGCCAGGCACTGCCCGAAGTATTTCACGTGGATTCTTGTACTTTTAGTAGGGTGAAGACTGGGAGCAGCCGATTTGTCCAAGTTGGCACAGCAAGGGGCTGACGTGCAGCTCCAGCTCCAGCTTTCTCCAGGGCCATCCGCGTGTGTTGTGCGGTGTGGACCAGACGTCCTCCTGTCCTGGGGAGCTCACCGCTGGCAGGTTCGTGACGGATGCCACTTGGTGCCTTCTCCTCCTCTGCTGCCTGGCCCAAGGAGAGGCCCAGGTGGAGCCCTTCCCACACGGCCTCGGCGCTTCCCAGCCACTTAGCAGAATACTCAGGCTGACTCTTAAAGCCAAGCGAAGTCATAAAAGCTGTAGCTACCGCTGGGGTGTTCACTCCGTCTGGAGCTTGGCCAAGCACTTTATGTAATAGCATTTCCTCCCCCCAGCACAACAATCCTCATTTTTTCTCATTAAGTTTATTGGTACATTTTAGGTACACAGTACAGTGACATTCATCATTGGGATCTTGTACCTTTACATGGTGTATCTTGGTTCTTATTTTTTCCCCCAATCCCCTGCCCTCACTTCACCCCCCCACCCCTCCCTATTTACAAAGACTTTGTTTCCATTCTTCCCTTTTCTCACATTTTTTTCTTTTCCCTTGTTTCCTTTCCCCTAATAGTCCTCATTTTATCAAAGCAGCAACTGAGGCTCGGGGAGGCTGGGACGTCTGTTGCTCATCTTGTCAGCGGTTGGACGGCCGGGGACCTGGCTCAGTGGTAGAGGGGGGTCAGTCCCTGGGACAGGAAGGGAGGAAAAGGGAAGCGGGGTGAGGGGGAGGAAAGCAGGGGAAGAGGGGGCCTGGGGCAGGGGCGGCTGGGCTCCACAGCCGGGCTGTCTCCACTGGGGCCCCTCCGCCGTCTTGTGCTGGGGTTCGCCATGAAAGGCTGCAGCACCCCACTTGGGGGACACAGGCATAAAAACAGCAACACTGAAAACACTGCAGAAAGGACAGTTCACAGTCTGAGAGTTGGACCCGGAAGGCCGCACGTCATCTTGTTCAGCTTCGACCTGGAGCATTCGCATCAGGACACGCGTGATTTCTTCTAATCCCTCTGCTCACGTCAGCAGATGACTTCAAGGCTCCCACAAATGCCATCAGTTTTGTGGCTCCTCGTCATCTTTAGCATGCAGAGAAATTCACAAATGCAGAATGTGTGAGTTATGAGAATCGATTGTATTTCCTCCTTTATAAAGATTGCATTTAAGAGATGTGGACTGGCTACCTTCGGGGTGCCGTCCGCGGTGGCCAGCAGATGGGTAGCAAGTGGAAGCCTGTGTGGGGGTTTGTAAGGGTGTGGGGCGCAGAAAGGGGTGTGGAAAGTGCTGGAGTGGACAGGGAGCACAACCAGGGAACCCAGTCTGGGTGGAGGGAAGGAGACGGCAGAGCCTTATGGAAGTCGGTGCTGTGGATGATTTTCACTGCAGTAAACAGAAAACTCAAGCAAGGCAGCCTGAATAGAAAAGGGGCCTCACCAGTTCCCATGGCTGGGAAACTAAGAAGGAATGGGGCCTTGGGGAGCTCTTGTTCTACACACCTTCCCCGCCTCCGGATCCAGTTCCTCTCTTGGCGTCTTTCCTCCCACCTCAGCAGGCTTCCCACGTGGTTCAGAGATGGCTACTGTGGCTTTAGGGGTTTTATTCCCAGACACTAAGAAGCAAACCCAGGTCCTAGCCCTCCCAGCAGAAACGTGTGCTTCCCTCAGTTTGCCCTAGGTCGGTGCCTGCATGAGTGGTTTCATGTTCAGGGGGTGGAATGAACCCATGGATTTAGGCCAGACCTTCGACCTGTGAGTGGAGGTCAGGTCCACAGGTACTAAAGGGCTCAGTAGGGGGTCAGTGGCTGGTTTGCTCCAGGCGAGTCCAGCAGCATGATCAGGAAAAGTGGAAGAACAGATGATAAGCCTACGTACGCCTTAAGTCACTCGATTATTACAACTATGGCATTTTCATTGAAAAAGGTTGCGTACAGTGTCGTGAATCTTGGGGCTGCTTCCTCTTCTACAGTGGAAGCCTGAAAGCTGTCCCAGGAGATCTGAAGCAGTGTCTGAAATGCGGCAAGAACTGACCTGATCATGCCACTGATTTGTTTTTGGAAAGGAAAAGTATGGAAATTAACGTCAAGTTGGGATTATTCATGACTCTTGCTCATCTAAGTTACTTCTAGTGGGTTGGCCTTTCCTACTGAGGCAAGAAGGGAGGACTCATCTTGTTCTCACACGGAGGAGAAGGAACGGCCGAGGCAGCGGAGGCTTCCATCCCTGGAGATGCTCGGCATGGGCTTTTAAAAAGCAGACGATGAGAGTTCAGACAGAGCAAGGAGAAGCAAGAGGAGTGAACCCGGGGTAGAGAAGTGAAGACTCCACACGGATTCGGCTGGCACGCGTGATGTCCGTTAAGGGAGTCCACAGAGAGCTCAGCACATGGGCCATTAGAATGTTTGCAGTACTACCCAGGTTATTCTGGAGCATCTAAACCTTAGCGAGTTCCAAGAAGGTGCCACAAGGTGAGACAGGAACGGTAGGTGTCTGAAAGAGATGATCTGGGAGAAAACAATGAGAAAGAGAAAAAAACCAAGCTCTAACATCTTTTGTAGCCTCATCTAGAAAGTAACACGCCCTCCTATCTGCTGTATTTTCATCACACTAACCACCATGGCACCGTGTGGGAAGAGAGTACAAGAGCGTGTTAATACCAGCACAGCTCTCTGGAGACTATTTTGGATGTGGGAAACCACAAAGAGCATCTATCTAAAACCTAAAGCAAGCACCATACTTAAAGGTGAACATTAGAAGCAACCCCATTCAAGCGAGGAAACCAGTAAAAGAAGACAAGTATGCCCACCATAATGGGTATTATTAACGCTTACTCAAATGTAGAAGAATGCTATGGTTGGCCAAGCCTGGTGGTGAATGGCACTAATCCCAGCTACTTAGGAGGCTAAGGCAAGAGGATCACAGGTTTGAGGTCATCCTGGAAAATTTAAAAAGACTCTTTTTTCTAAATAAAATAGTGGGTTAGAATGTAGCTCAGTGCCAGAGAGCTTGCCTAGAATGCACAAGGCCCTGGATTCACTTCCCAGTACCTTAAAAA